CCTCCGAGCTTTCTTGTGGCCTCCTCTGGACCCACTCCAAGAGGTCCATGTCTATGCTGTGCTGGGAGCTCCAGAGCTGGATGGAGGACTCCAGGCAGGGTCTCACCAGAGCGGAGTAGAGGGGCAGAATCACCTCCCATGACCTGCTGGCCACGTTTCATTTGATGCAGCCCAGGATATGTTTGGCTTTCTGGTCTGCAAGCGCACACTGCCGGGTCATGTTGACCTTTTCATCCACCAGTGCCCTTCTCCTCATGGCTGCTCTCAGTCCATTGTCCACCCAGCCTGTATTTGTGCTTGGGATTGCCCCTCTTTGAGTGCAACCATCCAGCCAATTCCTTATCCATGGAGTGAACCATCCATCAAATCAATGTCTCTCCAGCGTAGAGACAAGGATGTCATGTGGGACAGTGTCAGATGCTTTGCTCAAGTCTAGGTAGATGATGTCAGTTGCTCTTCCCTTATCCACCAATGCTGTAACTGTTGTAGAAGGACGACAAATTTGTCAGGCACAATCCTCCCTTAGTGAAGCCATGCTGGCGGTCACCAATCATCTCCTTATTTTCCATGTGCTTTAGTGTAGTTTCCAGTAGGATCTGCTCCATAGTCTTGCTGGGCACAAAGGTGAGACTGACTGGCCTGTCTTTCCCTTTTTACCCTTTCTAAAAATGGGCGTTATGTTTCCACTTTTCCGATCAGTGTGAACTTCTCCAGACTGCCATGACTTCTCAAATATGATAGGTAGTGGCTTAGCAACTTCATCCGCCAGTTCCCTCAGGACCTGTGGACGCACCTCATCAGGTCCCATGGACTTGTGCACCTTCAGGTTCCTTAGATGGTCTCAAACCTGCTTCTGCAGTGGGCGGTTCTTCATCCTCCCAATCCCTGCCTTTGCCGTCTGTGACTTGGGCAGTGTGGCTGGAGCACTTGATGGTGAAGACTGAGGCAAAAAAGTGGTGGAGTGCCTCAGCCTTCTTCATATCCCGGGTAAGCAGGTCTCCTGTTTTCTTCCGGAGCGGGCCCACATTTTCCCTAGCCTTCCTTTTATCACTCATGTAAGCAGGTGATAAAAGCAAGTTCCTCCAGCACTTGAAATAATCAAGGAGCAGAAAAATGGTTGTACTTTGTTTATTCTCTGCTGTCTGTAGATGTACACATTTGTCTACTATGTTATTTTAATGCTTAAATGCAAAGTGCTTATTCATTAATGTTTTATTAGTTACAAATTATCATCTTAAAAACTAATAAAAGAACTTAAACTCCAAAGTAATGAAAAGGAGTGAGCTATAACTTCAAAGAGTGTGTGTTCACTGAAGAATGATGAAGGAGGTATTGGTGACTTGATCAGAATGAAACAATTAAAATGTTTAATTCAATATTCATGTTTAAGTATAGATTGAATCAATGTACCAAAATTTCAACAGTCAGCACAGGATTTTAGCCTAATGTTGTTTACCCTAATTTGTGCTATATGCAGTATCTTGTACAGTGAAGTGTATGTAAATTTGCTGTAAGACTGGATGTAAGTCCATTCTGGATTTTGAAGGTGGCAGCAGAAGTTGCTGTATATGCAGTATCAGGTGTATCGCTGTGTGTACCTAGCATCTGTTTGTCTTTGAAATAACCTGCTGGTCACAGTTTTTTAAAAATTTTTTTCACTTTTTTTGTATGTGTACTTCTGGTACATAATAATCAAATAGAGTTACCTTTTTCTTTTGCATTTATGGGCTTTTGTGTATCTGGACAAAACTTATTTTGCCAGTTGGATGGAGGAAGAATAAAATCTTCATGACCAGTAGCTAAGATAGACCTTTGAAATAAACCATTGCTCATCAGACAATTAAATTCGTGTATTTGTAAAGGAACATTCCAGTTATCACATTATCAATATCGTTTTGTGGCTGTGCTCTGTAATATTTTCCTTATTAGTTAATAAAACTTGGAAAGGAGTGATAGTGGAGTGGTAGCAGTGGCAAAGAGCCAGGAAGTTACTTCTGGACAATTCTGATCTGTCAGAGTTCTCTTCCTAATCTGTCTGTATACCATGGACTGCCTCAGCATATATAAAAGAAAAAACTTGAAACAGAGATTGCATTCCCTGTTAGGTAAATTAGTGGTTACTAGAACTTTCATCCTGTTTTACTTGTAGCGTTCCTGGTGTTCAGAACATTGGATTAATGAGAGTGCTGTTGTTGAATGCTTTTAGAAAATGAGTTGTTCAATAGTAGTTCCAAGAGGA